TCTCGAACATGTTCTCCATTGCTATGGTTCGCACCAGTCATAATAAGTATGCCAAAAAATGCATACAGCTCTGTTATTGACACAGGCGTCCATGACTTAGGAGTTGTGTTTGGATGCGCATTGTGGTAAGCATTATAAGTTTCTTTTGCTAACTTATTTGTGTGGCGCATAATTATATCAGCCATTTCAACGTTCATGAAACATTTGAATGTTTGCTCTATTGACAACATTTCAGTGCATCTAGCTGGTCCAGAACGTTCTCTTATAATATTTTGTCTGAGTACCTGACGACTTACATTTGGTTCTTTCATCCACTCAGTACCATCACGTGCAACAAATTTTTCGGCACTAGCAGGTAATTCATTATTTTCTTCTACTTCTTCTTCTTCTTCATCATCCTCATAGTCCGCATAATCAGGTAATACTTCTGCGGCACTTTGCGAAACTTCAGCATCGTCATCAGCAATTTCAATGTCATTGATTTGAATTTCTTCTTCATCTTCTGAGTCAAAGTCATAGGGAGCGTCGTCGTCACAAATTTCATCAAATAAAGATTGTATATATGATTCTCGCTGTTCCTCAGTTAGCCTGCATAATAAAAAAAATTAGTATATGTTTACATTGTTGCTTATTTTACATTTTTTACCTTCTATATGCTGCACTTGATAAATATTCGTTTCTTCTTGAAGTCATTTCGTATCCAGTTATTTATAGTTTCAGTTATATTTATTTTCACTTATATTTTCACTTCTTACACTTTTGAGCACCAAAACAATAATGAAAATATCAACAGGCAGCATTTATAACAACACCTCGTGTGAAAACAACCCTTGCAGCTGCATATAAAATACAAAAACCAGTTATACCAGTGTATTTGCTACCTACGTACCCATACCTTGCGCGACCTTTTTGCACATATCTTTTTAACCAGGTAGAATATTTCAATGAAATAAAAACCAAAATGTGTATTCGTTGTTACTCTACAAGTATATTATTATAAATTATATTATTTTGTTTTGCATTTATCAGGACAACAACAAAAACAAAAATCCACTGTTGCATGTCCTGACTTTATTTGCCCATATCGCTGGAACCAGTTGGAATATTCGAATGAAACAAAAGACAAAATACTTGTTATATATTAAAATATACATTTCAAAAAAAAAATCATAGAAATCGGTTGAATAAGCATTAAAAAAACCGCAAAATAAGGTCCCGGGTACAAACGTATCCCGGGTGTGTGTTTACGTGGTATTTTCTGGGTGTGTGTTCTAGGGTTAAATAAAAAATCTTTATATTTAGTTGTTTCCTATATTCCTCCTAATAGTAATGAAGAAGTATATAGAAAGCATCTAGAGAACGTGGCTTTTATTAACGAAATCGCCAAGGATAACGAGGAATTTATTTACCTTGGCGACTTAAATTTGTGCAACATTAAATGGCTTAATAATAATAACAATATAATGCCTACAAACCTTATAACTGATGTAGATTTGTTAGTGACAAGTACAGTACTATCTAATGGATTCAAGCAATGTAACGCTGTACTCAATGACGCTGGTCGAACTCTTGATCTTGTGTTTCTATCTTACGATTTGAAAGCTTATTGCAACGAATACCATTCTCCTTTTTCTGTCAATACCCTTCACCATAAAGCACTCGGTATCGAATTTGAATTTTATCGCTTCGATTCTTTCAGCAATATGACTTTAAAAAAGCTAATTACTCGGCTATAAACAATTTTATCAAGTCAATTGATTGGGACTTTCTGAATCCTCCCAATTGTCCGTTAGTCGGCTACGAAAAGTTTCATTCCTTACTCACATCAGCCATCTCAGAACTTGTTCCCCTAAAAAGGGCGTATAGTAGTAATAAGCCCCCTTGGTTTAATAAACGCCTATGCAACCTTAAGAATAGAAAAAATAAAGCCTTCAATTGTTTTAAGAAAAGTCAAAGTGTGGGTGACTATCAAAATTTTGAGCGCCTTCGAAAGGAATTTGATTGCCTTCATAATTTTCTCTTCAAGCAGTATATGTTTAATGTTGAATCAGGTCTCAGATGCAATCCTCGGTATTTCTGGCAGTACATTAACTCAAAACGATAAACTAATGGTTTTCCAACTACCCTTACTTATAACGGAGTTGTTTCTGAGAACCCACAGAACTCATGCGACTTGTTTGCTGAATTTTTTCAAGGTGTATATGAAAAGTATGACAACCAAAGTCTTCCTACGGATTTTTTACCATCTCTGCCTGAAATATCTGCGTTTGTAGTTGAGGAATCTGACGTAACTCTTGCGATATCTGAACTAAAGTATGATGGTAAATCTGACACTGATGGTTTTTGCTCGGTATTCTTCAAACTATGTGCGGACTCCCTTGTGGGTCCCATCACTCGGATTTTTAATAGCTGCCTCTCTAGTGGTGTTTTTATTGATGCATGGAAGGTCTGTTCCATCACTCCAATTTACAAATCAGGCGACCGTAATGATATACGTAACTATAGGCCTATAGTGAAACAGAGTACATTGGCCAAGCTGTTCGATAGCATCATTCATTCTAAACTTTACCTTCACGTATGTAACATTATAAGCAATTGTCAGCATGGGTTCATGCCTGGTAGATCCACATGTTCAAACTTACTCTTAGTCACCAATGATATCGTGAAGGCATTTACTTGCCAATCACAATTAGATGTGATATATACCGATTTCTCCAAAGCCTTTGATAAGGTTGACCACGTTGTCCTACTGCATAAACTAAAACTCTATGGTATTACTGGAGAGCTTCTGAAATTCTTTGCTAGTTTTCTTAGCGGGAGGAAGTTATTTGTGAAAATGGGTTCAGTCTCCTCAAATACCAGTGTCAATGCTTGGTCAGGTATTCCGCAAGGTACCCATTGTGGTCCGCTATTATTTTTGCTTTTCATCAATGATTTACCCTCCCACTTTAAATTCACGAAATGCCTGATGTTTGCCGATGATGTTAAGCTTTTGCTGCAAGTTGACAGTCTTTCTGATTGCAGGAAGTTGCAAGCGGATTTAAGTATTTTTGAAACTTGGTGTACATCAAATAACTTGTACTTGAATACCAAGAAATGTGCTATTGTATCGTATACCAGAAAATTAGAGGCGTTTCTTTTTGATTACTCTTTGTGCAACAATGTGCTTAATCGTTACTCCGATATGAAGGATCTAGGGGTGATCTTTGATACAAAGCTTACATTTAGCAAGCACATTGACTTCATTGTCTCTAAGTCGTTTGCGCTATTTGGCTTCATTCGTAGAAATACTCGTGATTTTAAGGACCCTAACACGCCTAAATCATTATTTGTTGCCCTTGTTCGTAGTCGACTGGAGTATTGCTCTTTGATATGGAACCCCTACTACGATGTATACTCTGGTAAAATTGAAAGGGTTCAGAAAGTCTTTACAAAATATGCCTTATACAACATGAGCTGGGATGATGGCCCTCCATCATACACTAGTAGACGTAAGCTTTTGGGTTTGCAATCTTTGCATGACCGCAAACTTTATAATTCATTTATATTTGTATACAATGTGGTCAATAACAAAATTGACTGTGATCTTATCAATTCCTTATTTAATGTATATTTACCCCAAAGACACTTAAGATGTAATCGTTTATTCGTTGAGCCAATTATCAGAAATAACTATTCGCTGAATGAGCCTATCACTAGATGCGTTCGTCTTTGCAATAAATATGCCGATGTTATCGATTTTAATGTTAACTTTTATTCTTTTAAACTTACCTTGTTTTCCTTATTTAATTAAATATTAATTGTTAATTGTTGTTGTACTATATTTATGTCGTCTTTTGACACTAATTTTAAGTCGATAAATTGTCTAGTCTGTAAGATTCATGTAATCAGTAGACCGAATAAATAATAATAATAATAATAATAATATAATATAGATCCAATCTAGGCCACAACTGGTCCCAAACTACGCCCCAACTATTTCCAAACTGTTTTAGAACTGATCCCCAACTAGTCCCGAATTGGCCCCTAACTAGCCCCGAACCAATCCCGAAATGGTCCGGAACAAGCCCCGTCATTTAAGACTTAAACAATCTTTTCGCACTCATAATTATTATGAAACAACTTTTATAATAAAAGTCTCAAAATAAAAATCTTTGAAGAATTAAAAATATTTATCTCAATGGTAATTATTGTGACAAGATTTTTATAATATAAGTCTCAAAATAAAAGTCTTTGAAGACTAAAAATATTTATCTCGCTGACAATTATTATGAAAAGATATATATGTCTTAAAATAATAGTTATCGATGACTTAAAAAGTTTTTCTCACACATAATTATTATCAAAGAACTTTTATAATTCTTACGAAAATTTGGATGACTTTTTTTAACCTCCACCGTGAAATAATTATTATTCTGGGTCTCTGCTTTTATTAGTCTATAAAAGATACAGGACTTTCACACATACGTAAATATATTACTAATGTAAAACTGTAGGTATGTCAAAAAACAATGAGCTTTCTCCGGAACTACTTTCCACCGGTAGTGGTTTTGGAGGGCTTTGTTTTCTCCTGAAAAGTATTTATTATTAAAATATATTTCATAAATAGCTTAATACATTTACCTTAGGGTAATTTTAGCGAGGACGATACCACAGGTTGACATGGATCGTTTTTTTTCGATTTAGTTATAACTATTTTTTATATTTTTTGTTGTTATAAACGCAAGCGTAGTGCGACTTTCTCTAATATAGTAATTTCTCATCAAGTGTTTTGAAGGCAATTTTTGTGTACTTAAGTTGATACTACAAATAGTAATTATCCTAAGAGAAAGTACACCTCATGGACTATAAAACAGTGCTGAGTTACTGTGTACTAAAAATACACTCAGTAAAAGCATTTCCTTAAAGCAAAAAAAAACGTATCCTTATTTTAGAGTTATTGTTTTTTCCTTAATATTACGGAAAATTTACTGAATTGGAGAAGTTTTTCCTTAATTCAGGTTCATGCTAAAAAGAGGGCGCCATTAATTTGAGGGAGTAAATTTACTCAATATAAGTAATAATTTCCTTAAATTATTTTGAATTTTGTCAGTGCTGTTAAGACAAAGTTAATTGCTTTCCTGGCAAATGTGGGCTGTGGCGTCGCATGAAGACTACTGCTTCTGGTTCTGAGTAGGGTAAGTCAATTATTTCAATTTAAATACAAATTACAAAGCGAAAAATTAATTTCATATAAGGAAAAATCTAAATACTCAAATACTAAAAAAAACAAATTAGATTTTTTTTAAATACAATTTAAAAAATTACAATTAAAATAAAATAAAAATAAAATAAAAAATTTCCTGCTCTAAGGCTCGAATCTTTAATCTCTCGACTATCACTCCAGAGCTTTGCTCTGTCGGCCATTGCCACTGCTACAGACTCGTCTCACCCGTCACAAATATGATAATGCCATTAAAGCATAAAATGGGCCTTACCATTCTATTAGCTACATACGAGAAAAGCGCTTTGAACGAAATATTTATAATTTGTCTAAAATTCGGAAACTCAGAGAGGCGGTGTCATCGTTGTCCCACCTGCCACTTTTGGAAAATGTAAATTTTCTCTGTAAACTATATAATTAAGTTTTATACTTTATTAGTTTTGTAGTCATCTGATATCTGACTTCAAGTGTTAAGATTTTGAGACTAATAGTTAAAGAGAAATGACTTAACGTTTGAGCAATAATGAGTTAAAATATCCCACCCGTCACGTTGGAATGCCCCGTTTTCATAAATTGGTCCATTTTGTGTACTCCCGTCTAAAGCTATTGGCGCATATTCATAGTCAGAAGTATTTTATCAAATTAAGGGAAAACAGACGAAATATGTAAAAATTAAGTTGGTAGAGGGTGATTTTGATAATATTGAATAATCTCCAATTAAAATTTACAAAGATCGATTCATTTTAATCGGAAGATGAAATTAAATGCGTATTACAATTCGAATAAAGCTACATCACAATTTTATAATTGGAATAATTTAGATAAATTTTCAAATAATAAGTCAGTTTCACGCTAGTTCTTTTGAAGTAAATTTGTGCATAACATTTAGATATCTACTATTTGTATGTCTCACAGCATGCTTTCGATAAACATCGACTTCATATCACTGCGGTTGTTCTGGCTATTTCGCACAATTAACAAGAAAATGATTCCTTATTCTTTTGCATAATCATGCAATGAAAATAAAAATTACATAAACGGATGATCAAACTTGACATTATTTAATAAAAATGTTATTTTTCCAAAATATAGTAAAGAAAAATCGATACATTTTCACACTCGTTTTGCTATATCGTAAACTAAGTCGAAACTACTTAGTAGAAGTCTGAAATGGGACTATGAATAGAGGTAAATTTTAAGTTGGTACTTAAATTTAAGTTGCAACTTTGTTAGTTTCGACTTAGTTGCTGGACTAGGAATACGCGCCATTGATTTCGCAGCTGAATTACACCAATTCACTGATCACCTAGCAAATTTAGCACGTAATGAAAATAAACAGGAATCAATTAGAAAATGGAATGCAAAATTAGAGCCAATGTCGTATTCACAATTGTCTAATTCACGATATTACACAAAATCAACAGAAAATTAAGGATGGCAAAATTGTCTACATTGTAAAATGAGCAAAATTGTAAAATGTGGTAAATTTTAAACTTACCGTGGTAGATATGGTAGACACGCAATTTAGCAAAAAAGTGTAGATCTACCACAAAACTGGTACAGTCCGCACACTGGTTACAATATCAATTGTACTGTTTTATTACAAGCTTTGATTAGGTTTCACCAGTGTGTAATGAAATCGTGCAACCAATTTTAAACCAACTTCCCGATAAGCTAGAGACTTGAAACTTTAAACTTAGCTTGTCTTAAAAAAAATAGTTATTAAATTACTTGTTATACATTCATGTTTACATTATTAAAAAATCAGTTAAATGTACATATATCTATGAGTACATATGAAGCCTGTTTCAGTATTTGAAGGAATTTACAAGATTTAACAGGAAGCTGTTCCCGTACGACACCTTACATATGGTTTAAATGCTGTAAGGCCTGCAAATCATGAAGTACCTGTAAGAGGATGATGTACCACAATGTACATTGCACATGCTATGTTCATTTAAAATCTCTTTTTTTCTAGCTTTTAAGGCCCGGTTATGCAAGACTTAGACTTGACTTGACTTACATAGAAACTTAAAAACGAATACTCTGCGTGTTATCTATTACTTTATCTCTTTGTTTTGATTCAGGGTTCGGAAATTCTCATTTATGATTATTCGTTTCCATTCATTTATGAGATTTATCATGATCGATAATATTGCTATCTATTTTTGCATTCTTTTATCGCGAGTGAAAAATGCAAACAAATTTATCATCTCTCACATTCGGAATGCGATCGACAAAAACTTTCCGCTGCTTTTCATTCGCGATCGAAAAAAGCAAAGAAATTTCCTCTCACTCGAATATGAGAAGTCCGATCATTGCCGATGTCGGCCCCTCATAAATGGAGAAAAACGATGCAAGTAATCCATTCGCGATCACTCACAACAGCTTATCGCGATAAACTTACCGCGAAAAATTTTCATTACGTTGTATGGGAGATATTTTTCTCGTTTGTTATGGTTATGCTTTTTGTTAGGTCGGTCCCAATAAACATTTAGGTTTGAGATCAACTTGAGGTTAAGTTGAGAACTAAGGTATTTCTCAAATCTCCAACGTTGTTTCTCAACAGTACCTCAAGTGGAGGATCATAGCGTTCTCAACAAAAAGGGCATTTTTTTTAATGAAAAAAGGATTGTTTCTCAAGTTGAGAAAATGCAAGTTCTCAACTTGAACTCAAATGTAATTCTCCAATTGGTCTCAAACATATCATTGAAATACTGAAATTGAAATAGTAAAATACCTTATACCTTTTTGATTGAAACGACATATAGATGAATTTAAATATTAATTTTTCATTTTATTACTCCTTTTGTATTATGTAGTTAATCAATATCGTATTACAATAATTCACTTCACAGTATACAGTCCGACAGTAATTTTGCCACTTGATTCACTTCGCGTTTTATTTTCTTTCAAGAATATTTGAGGATACTTTGAAGATTATTTACTTTTCGTTGGTAGTTTTCCCCTCTATATAGCTTTAGTTTTTCACTTGATAATTAAAAATTCGTATCTCTATCACTTCTTACGTATCTGCGCGTCGGTTAGAGATGAGTTGAAAAATGATGTTGGATATCAACTTGAGAACTATGAATTTCTCCAAGGTTGGAGAAATATTTGTTTGGTGTTTATTGGGGTGTTATGCAGACAAACTTTTGTTTGCCAAATTAAATGGCGGCTGCTTAGTTTGCTCGGAGGTGATTATGTCGAGTTTGGCACAGGGTTGCACGTTCATTATGGTTTTCATGGATATTGCCAACACGAAATTAAAATTTCAGATGTACATAACGCGCACAATTAATATATTTTTATGATATCGTATAGGCAATTAACTGTGCCCTAATCTTTGAAGCTCCTACAGCATAAATTCAGTTCTCTGGCTTTCGGTATCACGGCAATTTTTGTGTATAACAACAGTTATCTAAAATGTTTTTATATGACAACACCGAATTTGCTGCAGTTTGACCAAACAAAATTAGTTTGCTGTGAGAGTCGCCAAACTCGCTCTCTCCGAGTTTGCTGCAACAACAATTGCACGCAGTTTGCCAAACAAAATTTCTGCATAACACCGGCCTTATGCATACATAGTGCAAAACCGCGTATCAACAAAATGCAAAACCGCGTATGTGAAGTTGTAGAAATTATTTTCTAGAGGGTAAAAACACTCCTTTTTCAAAATGGTTCTCTTTTTTATAAAGCAATCGCATTTCTGGCTAGTATATTTCAGGACGAATGGATAAGGATTGAGCCAAGAGCTTGTGTGAGGAAATCCAATTTTTGGCAGCCAATGTCAGTTACGCGGTTTTGCAGAATGACGATACGCGGTTTTGTACTTTAAACGACGATATTGTTACGATTATCCTTGAACCCTCGTCCGGATTTCCCAAATACTCCAGTTCGTATCGCTGGATTGTTAAATAAAGGCTAACGATGACCAAATTGTAGTACAATTAACTTTATTGTACAACAAACAATTTACAATATTCGCTAATACAGTAGAAACACTTTACAATACTTGTTAAAGCAATAACAACGCTTTACTAAACTTGTTAACACAACTAAACTTATAGCTTGCTTATTCGCAACTCACTTCTCTGCTCACTTTACTTGTAGCTTGCTGACTTGCAACTAACTCACCTCGCGGTGGCGGCGCCCTTATATACCTGCGCTGGCACTTAAGGCAACTCTAGAACATTCTGAAGTTTATCGCTCATTCTCTTTCTTTCGCTGTTCGCAGTGTTCATCCAACTTGACGTTTCTCTTTGTGGAACATTCTACGTCATTCCTCGAACATTCTGCCTATTTCTCGTTGTTCGCTTTGTTTTGCCGCAGTATTCGCCACACTGCCCTCCACCTAAGTCTGATCGTCCCGATCAGACACACTTGCTGTTCCAAACGCTGCAAGCCTTTCCAAGTGGACCACCTTCATCTTGTTTCTTGGTCTCCCAACGGTCTGGATTCGATACACTACGTCATTCAACCGTTTGACGACCTTATACGGACCTTCCCAGTTGCATTGTACTTTTGGGGACAAACCTTTCTTCCGTTGTGGATTGTACAGCAACACTAAGTCTCCCTCTTGGAAACCCTCGGAGTTCATTGCCTTATCATACCCGGCCTTCATCTTGTCACTCATAATTTGAGTTCGCTGTCTCACAAGAGCATGTATTTCTCTTAACTCCTCTTCCAGGATGTTGGATGTCTCTTTCCCAATTCTCCTTGCATCGCCAGTTACTCCAAACTTCAGGTCACTAGGCAAACGAAGCTCACTGCCGAAGATTACCCTTGCAGGAGTTTTACCCGTTGTTTCATGCACTGCTGACCGGTATCCCATCAGGAACAGCGGTATGCGGACATCCCAGTCTTTCTGAGTTTTGTCCACGACCTTCCGCAAATGCTCTTCCAGAGTTCGGTTGAACCGCTCCACCATGCCATCTGATTGGGGATGAAGAGCCGTTGTTCGAGTTTTCCGGA